AATTTTAACTGGTATGTTTGTGTTTGGCCTTTGAGATTTGTTTGTGAATGCGATGACTGCTTGATTATTGCAATTTATTAACTTGATTATCATGATTCATTATCGTTGAGTTAGACTCATCTTTCTCAATTCTCAAATAATTGAAAAATCTCATAAACTAAACAACCTATTATACTATCACTAAAAATGCTATTAATTCAGCTTTCATTGTGAATAGTGCTATTCAAGTCTATATAGCCCAATATTCAATAAGAAAACATAGCCAAAAGTAGATTTTTTTTTTCATTTAAATCTCCTTTTTAACTTGCATCTATATAGCTAATTAAATGCAAACCATTTTTTAATAGCAGAACTAATAATCCACATTGCTTTATGATACCTTAATATGCTTTTAATGGCTTTTAAATAATATTGACCTGAATTGGATTGATATCTGCTTACCATGCTTACGGCATAGTAGATATTCGATCTTATGCACATTATAGCATATATAAAGCTTTCAATAGCACTAGAGTAAAGAACTCTTATCGTTTGTTCTTTTGTGGAGTTTCAAGACATATTCTTTGGCTCAAGCTTTCACCTTTTATCATATAAGTATCAATTGACTTGTAGTTTTACATATTAGATCATTTAAGAATTTTCTTAATATATTACTTTTGTGAAAGAAAATCATTTCTTGAAATGATCTTTTTTTATTCTTTAACCAAGTATGTAAGCTACTTTACACATATGTTTCATTTCAAATTTGAAGACAACCAATTTTCACTATAGTGAAATACTTCTTATCATTTTTAGCCAGTAGTATGTCATCCACATAAATTGATAAAATCACAAACTTGTCTATAATATTTTTTATATATGCGCAGCGATCCTCATCAATTATGATAAAATTGTATAAAATTATCGCTTGATGAATACTAATGCATATTTGTGCTATTGAAAATAATTCAATGATAATCATGCATATTACTACTAGTATAGTGTATTATCTAAACTAAGCAATCATAAAATTATTATCACACATGAAATTGATGGATTATATATATTAAATCAAAGTAAATTAGCAAATGAATATAGTGTTGAATAAATTATCAAAAAAAAAAAAAGATGAAATTCACAAATATAAAACTATCATACTCACTCTCCATTGATAGTCCACTCCAATGCATCATTGTCTTCGAAGTTTAAACCATTCAAGTAGGAGTTTTGTTAATTTCAATCTGCATAAGTAACACCATTTAAATGTGATTAAAGTAGAATTGCCAAAAGAACTTAAATTTGGAAAATTCATCATCAAAGCCCACTCTTCCTCATAGTTAAATTGGCAAAGCATCACAACTGGTATATTTCGTGGTCCTTTTCAAAACTGTCTCAATCAGACAACAATAAAGCTTCCTTTTCAAGAGACCATGATCACCAAATGACAGTGAAAGTAAAGCTTTGGAAACCCATTTCTTCCTTCATCCTTTGCTCAAATGATTAGCTCCTTTGCCAAATTCTCAATTTTTTTCTTGTCTCCATACAAAAGATAACAACATTTCTTGTCCGCAGCCCGTCCTCCTAGCTAGCGCTACTAGCGTAACTTCTGAGTTCACCATGTCGGGCATGGAAATTCGTGCTACTGGTCTCCGAAATGACCACAAGTAGCATTTAGAAAATTGGGATTCATATATAACTTTTTAGGTATATTACACTTTTAGGAAATTTTTAGTGGTTTTTTTATTTTGGTCACTTATGTTTTGCTTATTAATATTTATGACATTGTTTTTTCGTAACCTACTCGTTAGTCTCTAATTATATATATGTCATGTTATTTATCAAATATTACGCAGTATAATCATATAATTTAATTTGTCAAATGATATTAGTGGTGGGATTTATGAATTAAAAAAATAAAATTTTGAAACAAAAATAAAGACATGTTTGGTCACTTAACTTTTAAAAAAAATTTATTATGACCACTCAATTTTAAAATATCACAATTTGGTTATTAAATTTTGTGATTAATATTTGGTCTCCATTGCCGATAGCTCCTTATCAACGTGGATTTATAAGAATTTCATTAAAAATGTTTGTGAAATTTAATATAATAAATTTAGTATTTATGAAAATATATTGGGATAATATTAAAATAAGTCCTTGAATTTTATTCAAAAATAGAAATAAGCACTTGATATTTTTATTGCATGGAATTAAAACTATGAATTTTTATTTTATTATAATTATACTATTTAAATTTGAAAAATAGATGAATAGTATCTAATACCAAAATTACTAAAATAGTATTACTTCAAGTATTTGTTATTCAATTCATTCAAATAATTTCAATTAAATATTTTATATTTTATAATGTTATGATTTTAATTACAATGATAGTTCATAATTTTAATTTCATGAATAAAATATTAAAAAATATAGATAAAAGAAATAATAAAATAATTTATTATATTTAATTTTGCGAACTTCTAGTAATTAAATTTTCATAAAGCTATATTGATGATTACACAAAAATCTTAATAATTTCATAAACGTTAGTAATTAAATTGTGAAATTTTTAAAATTTGATGATTAAAATAGAAATTCTTGAAAAGTTAAGTGATAAAAAATATAATTTATCTTCATTTTTAATTTTCAAATTTTATTTTTTAAAATTTATAACATCATATCAATAATGACGCATAGTATATTAATAGAGGATGTGATAATCTCATGTGACATCTGACAAATGATATAGTATTGTTAAATTAACATGCCATTAGAGATCAATAGTTGGGTAATAAAAAAATAATTTTTAATGTTTCCAAAAAAATAATTTTTTAAAATGTTAGTGATCAAATTATAACTTGTCATAATTTGATGACTTAAAATTAGATGATTAAACGTGTAATTTGTTTTAAATTTTATGGGAAATTTTGCCATTCCCATTGCTTTTAAATTACAATGCATGCAAATTTCAGTAAAGTCATGATAAGCTTCTTTTCCTCCCTGGGCATTGCTAGTGGGATGTATCTTATCACATAATTGCCTTGGTTAGCTTAAAATTGAGGTTATTAACTTGTTTCAAACCCTTGTATTAACTTAAGGTGTGAAATTTCAAGGTTCTATGGTCCCTTTTGAGTCCATCCATGCATGCACCCAATCCACTAGCTTTTCAGGTCAAAAGTTGCCATTAGAGTGTCTTGAGAAGAAAAGCCCATCCATGTCTAATCATAAAGCTAAGGAGATAACCCTGATTAAAGTTTCCTGTCCCCAATCGATAGCAAATTTATGATTTGACAGCAATATAACTCTAATTAACATCTTTACTCTATATACATGTGAGTTTGGTCCACATGTTCTTAGTTCTTACTACTTTCGAATCCAATTTAATTACCCTTTGGTTGTAACAATTAGACGACTATATATGGATACAGGCCGACACGTCCACAAGATGACTAGGAGATGAAAACCCATGGTTTTGGTTGAATTTCTGTTGGAATGACTTTGAAATGACTAAAACGGCCGACCTTTGGTTCTGCCAACCTATATAAGATCAATTATTATATATAAGGAAATAAGGATGACTAACAGCTTCCAAAGTAAGTTTGTCTCGTTTTTTCAATAATAATAATTAACTCATGAATTAACAAGAGGTAATTATTATTTCAATTAATCTTTTACCTACCGACTCTTTAGGGGTGTTCAATTAAAAGTACTAGTCAACTATATATCCATGTTGTACTCAATATCATATGACGTCAATCTCATGGTAAAGTTTAATATATTGAATTATATATGTGAATTACATTTTTCCGGCAAGGTGTTAGGGAAGGAAAAGGTTCTTGTGTCTGAAATTATTTGGATCTTGATTTTGTAGTGTTAATCGGTTTATCTTGTTTCAGTCAAAGGTTGCCGATTATAGACATCAGAATCTTATTGTTGTTATCTTGTTTCTCTTGTTTAAGATTTGGCTGAAATGAAAACAATTTTCAAAGTCTACCGCATGAAAATTTTATTTTGAAAACTTGAATCCGTCTTGATGGCTTGCGACGCAAGAATAATGATCATTTTCTGGACATACTTCAGAAGTACATTGAAAGGGATGGGCAAGATCGGTGTCTTCGAGCGAGGGAGCCCCTAAGGAAAACTCTAGTTAATTTTCTCTGTTATTTTTCATTTTCTCCCAACTTTATTTATCTATTAATTGAATCACATGTTATGCGCTACTGCAAGCTTACGCTTTCCTTTTATTAAAATTTGAAAAACTTAGAGATTTGAATCCGTTTGAGTTTACTATTGATTTGACACAAAAACTTCAGTGGATCTATTCTTTTATTCTTCTTTATACAATTATAATATAATGTTATCTATATTTTACGGTGGTTTTTTGTACATGTGATCTTATTACTACATAACGGGAAATAAGCCTTTTTCACACCATAAATTGTACGTATCTCGCTCATCTTAGGATTCGGATCTTATACCTCTAAATTGAAGTTCAAGTTTTAGTTACTGTATTGAAATATCTTGTTGGATACAAGGTAAACACAAATGAAAACTTTTTCAGTTAACAACAGTATTGTTTATTGGGAAAATGCTAAACTTCTTATTTTAACTATAGAGTTTAATTTCTAATACTTCAAATATATTAAAAAATGAAAAATCATTTATTGCATTAAATGTCCCGAAAGAAGTACGGCATGAGCTACACATCAAAAGAAATGACGCTTAAATCCTTAGATTAGATCCAAAAACATTTGGCTTTAAAGTAGAACCCAAATATTTATCAACCCAAGATTGTAAGTGGTTGGGCGTACAAAGGAATTTATGGTCCCAATAAAAGACTCACACAAGGCTTAGCCTGCTAAGGAGCTGATTTATCGACATTGGTCATTGGTTGGGGCCATGACTCAGTTATGTGAATGGATCCTGCAGTCAGCCTCGGTCCAAAATAATGACTAATGAAAATGGAAGATTGAAAAGCCATAATTACGAGTAGGCTTTACCCTTGTGGAATGTAAAGGAAGGTGAGGTCCATTACTTTACTAACAAAAGGAAAAGGTAAATGGAGGTCAATTGAATTTGGGGCCAGGGGCTGGCCAGCTGATGAGTTAATTAGGGGGGAAATGGGAATGAGGGTAGGTACATGTAGGCGCAATGGCTATGGCACATCAATTTGCTTGCATCTTGGATTCTTGGTCCATCTATGCTCCGAATTTAAACAAAATCTTTCATGCAAATAAATTTTGATTTACGAAACAATAATTTGATTTTAAAATTTTTAAATTCTTCCTTAAAATCTTATACCCCATATCCAGACATTGAATTTTGCTGAAGACTTTCTCTCGTGACTTGCTAGTCGCTCGTAGCTGCTTTGTTTCCCTTTTATCTCTTCCCAGTTACCCCACAGAAAAATCACCCCCGCCTTAACACGCACAAAAAAAAAAAAAAAGAGAGTTCAGTTGGTTTCCTTACCATGAAAGACTCCGCTGGAGGCGCGTCACTTCCGTCGGGACCCGACGGGAAGAAGCGGCGGGTGACATACTTCTACGATTCAACGATCGGGGACTACTATTACGGTCAGGGTCACCCGATGAAGCCCCACCGGATCCGTATGGCACACAACCTCATCGTCCACTACTCTCTCCACCGTCGAATGGAGATTAACCGTCCTTTTCCTGCCGGTCCCGCCGATATCCGCCGCTTCCACACCGAGGAGTACGTCGGCTTCCTCAACTCCGTCACCCCCGAGTTCATCTCCGACCCCACTTATTCTCGCCATTTGAAGCGTTTCAATGTAGGAGAGGATTGCCCCGTGTTCGATGGACTTTTCGGTTTCTGCCAGGCCTCCGCCGGTGGCTCCATTGGTGCCGCCGTTAAGTTGAATAGAGGGGATGCAGACATCGCCATCAATTGGGCTGGTGGGTTGCACCATGCAAAGAAAAGCGAGGCTTCTGGATTTTGCTATGTTAATGATATCGTGCTTGGGATTCTTGAGCTCCTCAAGGTTCACAGGGTAATATGATTTTTTTTAATATTTTAATTTTAGATCCCTTTTCCATTTTCTGTTTTTATTTAGTAGCTAATCTTCCTACAGGAATTTAGGGTTATTGAGCTTTCTTTTTATTTATTTATTTGTTTCTTCTTAGTACGCTCTTGATGGTTAGATCAATGTCTGATTCTCTGTAATTGGTTTATACTAGTATTTGATTTTGCATATTGCCATGTTTCCGTGGAAGTGACCCAGGTTTTCACTGTGACGCTGGTGGCTGACTTTCTTAATGAGTTGTACCGTTTAGTTTTTACTTTAAGGAAATATGGTACTTCTCTTGTGATGTTGTGCTTTGTAACCGTGGAAGGATGTATGTGAATCTTTTTCACTGCCTAAGCCGCTTTTGTTTCACTGTCACCGAAATCATTGCCGAATTCCGTGATGGAATTGCAAAACCAATGAAAGTCAAGCTTAAATGTGCCAAATGCAAATTCTTAATACTGTATTTTTTAGTGTTCCGTTCTGTGATTGTACTGCTGTTCTTGTCATATAACTCAATTTGTTTAAAGACCTTATTATTTATCATGCAATCACTAGAATTCTTGTAACTTCTTGTTTCTGTATTTCATTTCCCACTTAATCACAAGGAGTGGTATGACTACAAGGGCAGAATTTTTGTAACTTCTTCCCCAGTTTATTTTCCAAGAATGCCAGTATGTAATTATATTTCATGATATGTTGTTTTAATGGACTTGCATTTAAATACTTGACTTCAATGTCTTTGTGCAGCGTGTGCTGTATGTAGATATTGATGTTCATCATGGAGATGGTGTTGAAGAGGCATTTTACACCACTGACAGAGTTATGACTGTGTCTTTCCATAAATTTGGAGATTTCTTCCCTGGGACTGGTCACATAAGGGATGTTGGCGTGGGCAATGGGAAGTATTATGCTTTGAATGTTCCGTTGAATGATGGGATGGATGATGAGAGTTTCCGGGGTCTGTTTCGGCCTATCATCCAAAAGGTCATGGAAGTGTATCAGCCAGATGCAGTTGTTCTCCAATGTGGAGCAGATTCATTGTCCGGAGACAGGTTAGGTTGCTTCAACCTGTCTGTGAAGGGCCATGCAGATTGTCTTCACTTCCTTAGATCTTTCAATGTTCCTCTAATGGTCTTGGGTGGAGGAGGGTATACTATCCGCAATGTTGCCCGATGTTGGTGCTATGAAGTCTCTCTCTCCCACAATTCTAGCAAAATGTTGTAAATATCATTGCTGATGAAATATTGTTCCTCTAAATTGCTTCTTTTGCTTCATTTCAGACAGCTGTCGCAGTTGGGGTAGAGCCTGATAATAGGCTGCCTTATAATGAATATTATGAGTATTTCGGTCCAGATTATACACTTCTTGTTGAGCCGGGCAACATGGAGAACCTGAATGCACCTAGAGATATGGAGAAGATAAGGTAAGCTCAAACATTATATTTTTTTGGGAAAACTTCACATTCACCCATTGTGGTTTGCGACTTTCCCACTTACAGCCCCTGTGAAAAATTTTGTCCAACTTATAACCTTGTGGTTCACTTCCGTTACTAGAAGGGGGCAACGACGTTAAAAGTCAAGCAGATTTTAGTGAAATTACAAAATTACCCTCACCTTTATTTTTAATGCTGTTACCCTTCTGGTAATGGAAATGAACCACAGGGTTATAAGTGGGAAAAAAAATTTCACTGTAGGTTTAAATGGGAAAGTCGCAAACCACAGAAGGTGTATGTGAAGTTTACCATATATATATATATATATATATATATTTGTTTAAGCATAGATCTTGTTTTTGTAGTAAATTTTCAAATTTTAAGTATGGTTCTCTGTCTTCACTTTTAATATGACCATGAGCCTTACCTCATTCTTGTAACCTTGTTTTGATAGAATTTTAATTTGGTGTTCCTTCTTTTTCAGGAACACGCTATTGGAGCAGGTTTCTAAACTATGTCATGCACCTGGTATACCTTTTCAAACAACACCAACCACCATCCAACCCCCTGAGGAGGTTTCTAGCCAACAACATATTTCTTGAATTGTTTTTTTTGTTTTTATCTGGAACAATTTCTCTTTCTGTTTTTCATCTTACATGGAAGATTGGTTGGATGTAGGCAGAAGAGGACATGGATGAAAGACCAAAACCTCGCATTTGGAATGGTGATGATTATGAGTCAGACCGTGAAGATGATGTGGAATCTCTATGCAGATTCTCAAATTCTGATGTGAAACAGTCTACAACAGATGCTGAAATGAGGTAACGGTTTGCCTTTTGACTGTTTGTCTTAGAAATGTTACTGAGCTTATTAACCCTAGCTGAAGTTAACTGATTTTGTTTAGGGTATTCGTTTACTTTCTTCATTCATTGCCTTGTAAATGGATCATCAAATTGAAAATCCTCTTGCTTTATGTGTGAGCATCTTTCCTACCCTCACAGCAGATTCAGCTTTGGAAAATGCTAGTTTTTACTTGCTTCAGCTTGATAACATATTTTGAAGAGCCCTTGTAAACTTTGTTGCTTTGCAAGTTGTGTGAGTTAAAGTTATTGTAATTTTCCTCAGGGATGTACCACAGGATTTGAAAGAAGTGAAAGCAGAAGAGCAGCCACCGTCTTGACACTGAAGGAACTTTGGCTTCTAGACTTCGTTGTACTTCATATTTGTCTTTGTATAATTTAAACTTGGGATCTTCTTTCAAGTTGGGTGTTTTTTGACATTACTAGCAAGCTTTTTCTGATCCCTTTGTTGAGGCATTAGACTAGGAATTTTTTGTCATTGATGTCCTTCCCTTTTGTTTGGCACTATGATATGCCGGATTAGATGCGTTAGAATCAAAGATACCATGAATACACGGGCGCAAGAGTATCAATATAACAAAGGCTAGACTAATGGTAATAGCCATAGCAAAGAGGTGTTATACTGTCGGCTCCGTTACAAAGATGGCAGTGGAAATTTAGTTATTATAAACGGACAAGTCTGACTCCCTTGCATCTCTTGCCAATTGGTGTTCTATCTGTGTTCTCAGATAAATTTCATTTAAGTCTTTTTCTTATAATAGACAAATATTTTTTTAGTAAGGATTCTGCATTTTCCCTCATTGGTATGCACCACTGGTCAGCAAGCAATAAGATTTTCCTGTTTTAGCTAGTAAGGCCACAAGGTTCACTGATAATGGACGTTAAATGATGAAATATGCTTTTGATAATTCACCGTCAAAAAAGAAAATTCTTCGCTAGTCATTAGTGCTGCTTTACTAAAATTACCACCACCTAACAGCCATCATACCCTAGACTAGCAAGCGATATTAATACTATCTAGAGGGAAGTGAAACTATTTTTTTTTCCTAGCCGAATGCCCGCGCTTCGGAAACAAAGGTTTTACATTTATTTGATTTTAAAAATTATATAAATAACATGTAATATATAAATAAGATATAAATAAGTAAAATATAGATATATAAAATAATAAAATATATGCATGTATAATTAAACAAAATGATTAACATAATTATAATAATTATATAAAACTAGAGGTATTAACACACAAGCATCAACAAATTAATTAAAATTATTTAAAATGATTCTCACTCTGAATTGAAATTATCCTTTAACAAAATCATGTATTTTCAGATTGCATAAATAATATATTCACCTATAATATAAAATTGACAATGTTAATTCGTATTTGACCCTCAACATAAATAAAAATAAATAAATAAATAAATAATTGTTGTCATAACCTAATTAACTCAAAATTTATGGACCAAAACTCAAATTTAACTTGAAGAAATATAACTACTATTGCAAATACCTAGAAATCAACTTTAATCACCCATCCACTTGTCTAAAAATTGAGCTCTAATTAAGTTGGGATAAATTTAATATAATTGTATTGATTGCATTGACGAGATTATGTGATGGAAAATAATCTACTGTTAGAGATGCTAATCTTGTAGGCTAGATGGATAATGTGTCAAGATCATCACCGTTGAAACAAGAACCCACCAAAATTGGATCCAACAAATCAAGTCAGAGCTGTTGAGCAATTAAAGAATACGTGGGGTGGATCGGCCTAGATAGTTTGCTCTAGTACCTCAACCATGTACCTTTAATGTATATAAAATTAAATAAACAGTAAAATTATTTATTTGATTCTAAATTGAAGTTTGGGCCGGCTTTAATATATTATATAGATATTCTAATTACCCAAATTCATTGCCATTGTACATGTAACCATCATGTTGTCATCTACATGACTCTGTCATCACAGAAAATTGAATCCACCCCATTATGGGGACTGTGCAAACCTTGGATGCAGATTAGTGACATCAAAACCCAGTCACGAGTTTAAAGCAGTAATCAGAGAAATGCTAATCCATAAAATTACATCTCATTATCTCCCACATTTTTTTACAATCCAAACGAGATTTTATTAAAAAAGGAAGTCAAGGGTACAAAAACAATAGTCACCAGAAAGAGAGTTAACAAAAAGTTCTAGGCCACCTGCAACCAAGCATCAAAATCGCACGTCGGAGAGACCTGATTTTGCTAACATATAGAGTTAGCGGCACGCAAAGTGTAAAGAAATGATACACCTTTAAGTCCCGATTTAAAGTTTGCATTCTGATTCGAAACGAGCATCATACCCCGAAGAACAGAGAAGTTGATTGCTGACCAGTAGAGAACTTAGACACGTAATACGGGAAGGACAAGATATGAATATGATGATAGGATAATTTTTAAAAAGTAAGTACACGGATGCAAAAAGACCGTTAAAGGCTTAAACCTACAGAAAGACCCGCAGTTTTCATGTCATATTTTACTGTTTTTCGTCGCTCACCATTTTTTCAATTGTGTCGTTCGGACCTTATGTATCCAACTTTTTTTTTTATCGTGTCTCGGCATACCTAGCTAGTATGTATTTTGATGTATTTGTATCGGTATGACACCGGTGGGTGGATGCCATGTTCGTGCTTCCTAAGAACAGCATATCTCCCACTGTTAATGTGAAAGATTTAAGCTAGCATTTTTCTGATTTTGAGAAAAGTAGTAAGAAAATGCTAAATATGATTATATGGGTTAGTTTTGGATTGAAAATTACATTTAGTACCACTCATTTAGCTTGTTTCACCTGATTAACACTCGATCTAACCTTTTCCAAAAGAGTTTGTATGCCAATCATGTGAATGACTTGATTGGAAGCTATCAGGAGACGACAACAACTCATAAACCAAACCAAATAACCTTAATCTGTAATTACAGGAGTCATGTCAGAATTTATCAGATTCTATGACACGTGGCCATAAAATTGAAATGTAAGTTATAATTCATAGTAAGAACCAAGAAATGCATGAGGCAAGCATGAAATTGAAAGAAGAAAGAGAATGGAATGCTTGTCGTCTAAGGCTGCAGCCAAACAGTAAATATAAATAATTTATTGATGAATTGCAAAAGTAGAATAGGCTTTCTCTAACATGCTTAGTCTAGCATTTGTGTTTTTTGGGTTTGATAGTAGGTTCTGGCTTAGGGCTCTTGTTCTTTGATTATCTGAAATGAAAAGGATGCCACCATGAATTTAATGTGAAAACATAAGTAGAGCTTTAGGCAGTATAAAGCTCATGTCATTGAACGGACCATTTAGAGAAAGGATACTGATAAAGACCAATGGTTCTATTAATACAGTGGAATTCATTGGTAAATTTTGCTTAATACAGCGGTGGGTTCAGATTTTTTTTTTATCTATCAATAATATATATAAATATTGATAAATTTATTAATTTTATTTATGAAAAGGTTTCTAGAAAAAAATTTTGGGAAAGTCTAAACGAAATTCTCATCCAAAATTTTTTATTTTTTAATTTTTAAGTTGTCCATAAACACCCCCATTATCTACCTGAATCCACCAGTAACCGAATATACTTTGATCAATATCTAGGTAGAGCTTCCATAAGCATTCACCAAAATCTTGAATTTGATTCAATTAGTACTTTGAAATCCGAGTTTGATTGATCGTTAACTAATTCATAATTTGTTAGTGAAATGCTGTTAATGTAGATAGGAACTTTGAGTTTGATTTGATCTCAAAGTGGTTTCCTAATTGAGTCACAATCTTTGGATAAAATGGATACAGGATCATTACAAATGGTTGATTTTACACAAAATAAATAAATAACATACAGGCCTTGCCAATTAAAACAATAATGAAGCAAGGTTAGCGCGCAGTTTCTATCATTGCAAATATTGAAGAGAAACATTCAAGTCTGCTTGAATCCTTAGTTTTGCAATTATTTTATGATTTAAAATGTTAATTAACCAGGTCGACTTAATTAATCTTGATTAATTGCTTAAGTAATTCTTACTTATTAGTCTTTTTAAAAAAAACAAAAATCTTACTTATTAGTCCTAAATATGGAGTTTCTGTATTGTCAAAATAATCTGATGTTGCATGACACTTAGCATTAAATTATTAATGTATAAATTTTATATATTGTTACTTAATCGGATGATGTCACTTTACTGATAAAATAAATCAGATAATGCAAAAATATTAATTTTTGAATATCTATTTTAATAGTTAATATTTACTTATTAATATGATGATATTATTCAATTCACTTCATCAATAAAGTGATATCATTGGATTTATGAATAAAGTATAAAATTTATATATTGACAGTGCATCAAATAAAAATTCTAATGAAATGGTATCAATTGATTCATCTTATTTATTTAATAATATCATCTAATTTATTGATAATATATAAAATTTATACATAAATTATATATCAACTATAAGCTATTTCTTCTTTGACAAAAAAAAAAAAAAGGATCCTTATAGGGTCATATATATCTACAATTTAAGTCAGCAAACTTATAATTATGATCGAACGGGCCGGGGATCTTTGAACAATGCTGCTAGTAAGTAATTTGTAATTTTGATTTTTCTCTTTCCCACTTGTTAATACGTTTAATTCTCCATCAGTTTGCTTTATTTTTTTGGATTACAGAATATATGGTCTCAACTATCGATGTATGAGAAAGAGGTGAAAAAAAATTGTATGAAATAGCTATGTTATTTCAGTATATATATTTATTTAAATTATATTGTTGAATAAAAATTAACTTATTTAGTATATCATATATGATAATTAAATTATAGATATTTATTTTAATAGATTAATTAAATGATAAATATTTATTTTAATAACTTAATTAATTATTTTATAATAAATAATTGAATTTTTTCTATAGTATAATTATATCATATAATATAAATGAAAAAAATATATGTTAATGGGACATAATTTTTTCATACCATTTTTTCTAATAGGTTGCGGAATAGGAAATGGGAGACATCCCTGATATTATTATTAGAGGCAAGGTCATAGTCATTCTTTAGTGTACCTCCCATTTATTACCTTTGTCTTTTGCCTCCGTTCGTTCTCCATCCACTAAATGCTCTTTGCCTTCTCTTCTCTCCATTACCTTTTCTTACTGAATTTGCAGTTCTTTTTCTCTTTCTATCACTTCTACGACTAGGGTTTTCCTCTTTGAGAGGCTCGCCCCAGCCTCAGCCGCAGCAATAAATCTGTGAAGTTCACACTTCACCCCCTTCACTGCCCAAAGGCTACCTTATCTTGGTAGGAGCAAAGAACGTCCTCCTCAAAGAACTCATATAGGGGAAAAAGGTACTTCCCTTTTTATTCTTCTGATCGAAAACGCAGATCCAAAACAGGATATTACATATGTGTAGCTGCTTTGTTCTTTTCTGTGCTAATACTCTTTTTTTTTTTTTCTCTCTTGGCAAGCTAAGGCTAAAGAGTATATGCTCGACTCTCTCTTTGGCTAAAGGCTCTGATTTAGGGCTTTCGTATGTTCAAATACCTTAAACGTACCTATGAAAAGATAATCTTGGTAAATTTGCACTAGTCAGATCGATCCCATCTTCATTTGATTGCTTGCAGAAAGGATCCTATGACTTTACAACTGCTCATGCAACTGAATCCTCTTAAACTATTTATTAGTTTTGACAAGTTGGGAAACGGAGAGAAATAGAACTAGTTAATTATGGAATGTAGTATAGAAAAAAACAAACTTAGGAACCAAATTTAATGGTGCAGTGCGCAAGTCCTTGTGTGGATCATGAGGATGAAGTGTAAGAACTGAACCTTTTCTTCTAAACCTACAAGAAATTAGTTAAGAAGGAAAAGATAACATAGAGCAAAAAAGGAAAAATAAACAAATTAAGAAGAAAGAAGGAAGCTATATATGCATAAAATAAGTCAGTGACAATTAATATTTCCCAGATTTAAGAGCTTATGCATGTATGTTTCAAAAGGTTCTGTTGTATGTCTCTGAGTGTGTCAGAAAGGTGGACATGGGATTTTTTTCTCCAAAACCCTGGACATATTTCCTTTACGAAATCGACTGGTTAGATTGCTTGACACTGATCATAAAGAAAATACACTCAGGGAAACCCTAGTAAGTATAGATCGTAGATTCTTGAAGAGTGGCCCCCAAGTTAATTAGGAAAAACTGAAAATATCGATATTAAGCAATAGTCGAGAAAATATGCTGAAGAAGTTTAAATGATACTAATATAGTTTTCTAAAACAATTCTAAAATTGCATAATTAAACTAAAAAAAAGCTCTACTAATACAAATTTAGAAAAGCTCACGAAAAATGCTTGTTCTGGATATGTGTGCATATAGCAGTGAAAATGGCTTCGTCCAGCTGCAGCTCTTACAATTCACCCTGTGCTGCTTGCAAGTTGTTGAGAAGGAAATGCGTTCCAGGTTGCATCTTTGCACCTTACTTTCCACCAGAGGAGCCCCAAAAATTTGTGAATGTTCACAAGATCTTTGGAGCAAGCAATGTGAGTAAGCTCCTTACTGACCTCCTCCCTCACCAAAGAGAGGATGCAGTGAATTCCCTTGCCTATGAAGCTGAGGCGAGAGTAAGAGATCCAGTTTATGGGTGTGTTGGTGCTATCTCTTTCCTGCAGAGACAAGTTCAAAGGCTCCAGAAAGAACTTGATGCAGCTAATGCTGATTTGATCCGTTATGCCTGCAATGAGATCCCAACAGCCTTGCCTGCAGCAGCGGGGGCGAGTTCATCAGTTCAACCTCTAACTCCCCCTAACAGGCGAGGTGAGTTTGATAGAAGGATTGGTAATGAAGGAGGAGGACTCTATCAGCCCCCAGGTGCTTTTCCTCTTCCTTATTATTCTTATCCTTGGAACGACAACTCTTCAGGCGACATGAACGATGGAGGAGGAGAAGGCGGTATGTGAACCAAGACAATTTCAGACGGTATGCCCCATTTAGGGTTTTCCATATGGGACAGGACCTGTAGAAAAGCTCTTGGTGGGATGTTCCTTATATATATATATATATATATATATATATATGTATATAATGTTTGGTTTCTGGCTAGACTCTGTCGTGTGGACTCTCCTAAGTCCTAGCTAGAGATGTCACTTATCTTATAGTAATATTATTGTTTGCCTTCCCATTAATTTGGTGGGTTCAGTACTTTTTGCCCTGCTAATACCAGGGGCTTGCAGCGTGTCATCGGTACTGTACTATATATAAAAATAAATATAATGTGGGAATTGGGACCTAATTAAGGGTAATAGAGCCATATAGATATAACATGGCTGCTAAACCTTTCGTTGCGTCATTAGTGCAGCAGCAGCTCTTGGCATGAGTGCATGTGGAGTTGCTCGTGTCATTATTTATGCTTAAGAATAAATGAAATGAAATTGTTTGTGTTAGGCCAACAGCTTGTCTATTGATTATAATGTTGAATTTTTAATTTTAATAATTATAATTTAAATTATGATAAATTCAAATATTCGGTTGCAAAAAGAAAATAGTTGCAGTGTTAAGGTCGAACTTTAAAGGGGATTCTCCAAGCCTAGGTCTACGGCGTAGTCTTCCTTTAGGCTATTTATTCCCACTAACCTTTCTACTTTGTTCTAGAGGACCACTAGTTTACTTTCTTTCCAAATTTTATTCAGTAATTCATTCATAGCCACAGGTTTCAAATGGCCTAAAATCAACCCCAAGTTGCACCTGAATAACCTCTATTTTCTGTATATAATATATATATATATATGGAGTAAGTAAATTCTTATCAGATTAAATAGCAATAGCTTGTCCCTTTCTTATTAAAATAATGTACTACTAATAAATAAAACCCTATATATATTGATAATCAGTCAAGCCCCTACATGAAACAATTGTAAACGAAAATGAGCAATAAGTGTTTCATCTTTTTTTTGCTTTTGATTAATCGTATTCAAACCTTTTTAAATTCTAGCTTGTACCTAAAAGAAGGGAAAGGGACGCCTGTGAAGTCTGTTTGATTATGAATTTTCGCAGTTTTTTCTTAGCTGGTGAGACCCAGCTTCACCTCCCATTTCCATGGTAACAGATGTTTCAAACAGTAAGTCACAGTTACTGTCCTCATTGGATCCGATATGTAAAGTATTTGTTCATTTGTTCTTGCATGGAAGGTTTTTTCAGCTTTTCCTTCCCCAGCCCACTTTTAGGATCCCAAACATTTTCTACACTAAAACAGTAGAACCTTAGACAAAAGTCTCAACACAGTCAAGTCCCTATCTCTCTCTCATAATTGTGTTCTCATCATTTACATTTTTGTTTTGGTTTATATCTTTTTTTTCTTTTTTGTTTTTTTTAATACCTGATATGGAGCCTAATATGAATGTATCCAATTATCAAGGCTAAGAAAATGCATTACTGCCCATGAAGATATTAGATATGAATCATATGATATAATTGAAACTAAATTAGGTGTTTTAAGGAACCTAAGCTAAAAAATGTGGCTAAAAGCCTAAAACCCCAGGGGAAAATACCCAGAACACTTAGGGGTTTAGGGTTTTAACTTTTCATCAACCTAAAATTCTAGTATTTCAAAGGTCAGCAAGCACAGCAAGCATATTCTTTATTTTCTCTCCTTTGGAAGGGGGCTCTCTAACACTTTTTCTCCAAGCTAACTAAGCTGTTTTTTTCAAATTAATTAAGTTGTTTAAAAGTTTCTTTCATGAACGAAAGAGAAATGACTTGAAATTTCTTTACTTTTTACTACCGTGTAAGTACTCGTTTGTACGAACGATTAACGTAGCTGAGGAGTTGAGGTATCTCTCAAATTTTGTATCAAATCGCACAGATTCATTATTTAGAATTTTAGATAACAATGATGTGGGACGGTGGACTATTATTATTCACTGGATAAATGCTCGGATCAAAACCTTTTCCTTTTCACCGCTGCACATATTTCAATTTTAATCATGATATATTTATTTTTTTTAATTTTTTAATTTTATAATTATTTTCATGTGATTTAACTTTTTATTTTTGTTATGTTATTTTTTATTAAAAATTTTGAAAATAACTTGATTATTTAATATAATAAATAATTTGTATTTTATAATAAATAAAATTTGTTAATATTTTGATTGAATAAGAATAAAATTTTTAATATTATAAATAATATAAAATATATAAAAATAATTTATTAATATATTTTAAAATAAAGTTTTTTCGATTATTTTTCTTTTTATATCATATATATTTATATTTAAATACATATTTTATTATTATAATATTTATTTTTATATAATAATTTTATTATCTTCATTATTTTTAATTTTATAAAAATTAATTTTATTATCCATTCAAACATATTTTTCTCTCTCCTTCTCATTACGTAGCCACCGCTTGCATTCATGTGGCAATACAAAGCTTTCATCATAAAATACGGCCAGCTCCTGTTACTCCACTTTTTTGTCAGTGTCTATCTGCCTGCCCAGTGCCCACAGCTGAATGCTCAATATCTCCCTCTTTATTATTAATTTTTATCTCACTCACTGTATCCGTATTTTCACACACGCATCTAGTTCATATTATACTACTAATAAAAAGAAAGTTAAAACTGTCCAGTGTCCGCTTCTCTCCCCTTCCCTCTATAATGGTCTCTGGATTTGGGTCTGCCAGTTCCAGTGAGAGTCACGTCGTTTGTCCTCCAATTCATCGCCTCCTCAACCCAGTACTGCCCACACTTTTTTTCCTCGAGATCTGCAAAGCCTGGCCTTTTTCTTTGTTAGAATTTTGGTGATCTCAATATTTCAGATATTCTTATAAAGATAATAACAGTTTAAATGATTTAATTTTTTTTAATAATGTATAATATTATAAAATTTTAAATATATTTAAATTTAAATATATATTTTTTAAATTGATTTAAATTAAATTTTATTAATTTGGTTCTAATCAATTTTCAAATTTAAAATTTATTTTTTACATATTATTTTAATATAATTTTTAATATATTTAAATAAAATTTAAATATTTTTATTTTATAAAAATTTAAAAATATATAATTTTATTCAATTTGATTTTTTTATTTTCTATTTTTATTTATAATTTAATTTAAATTTAATATATATTTAATATTTAAATTTAATCCGAGTAAAATAAAAAAGTAATTCAAACTAAATCTACCACAATAATTTTAAATATTTTAGATTTTCTCAATTTAACTCCTAGTACATGATATCTCCTTAGTCCTTAAATGATCTTTTGGCCTCATTTCAACTTTACAAAGTAACAGAGTGATACTAATAACAATATTATTACAATATTATATTAATTAAAGACTGACTTTGATAGTTTTTGCCAGTACTGTTGGGTTTCAGTAGGTATTCGGGTCAGAGGGCAAGTATGGCTTTCTGAAGTTAATGTTTGGACTTTGGAGTAAAGCTTTGTGCTCTTTTTTCCCGCTGAAGAATGAAAAAGTCATTACTGAATTGAAAATCCATCAGCCCTCATCCCATCAATCTTTCTTTCTCTCTCTCACTGCAAAACGTAAAAAAGAAGCAAAGAGCTGGTGAAAATGGCAGTGTATTTTTTATTTTATTCTTTTTGAAAAAGAAAAAGAAAAAGAAAAAAGAAATTGTATCAAAGGACAAACAACATAGAAGGGTGTGCGGGTCCTATGGCAGCTATAGCCTAGACCCCATCCACACAAGAAACTCTCACAGATGTTCTTTCTGGACAGGAAGGGAATAATCATTTGTATCTTTTAGGTTGGATGTTTTTGATGTTCCAAGACACACTCAAAAAAGTTCGGGATTTGGGAATGTGGGGATTTTTTTTTAATTATTTACTCTTTAAATATTGTTTTAGCAGAAATAATTTCTTTCTTTTTATTGTTTTCTAATTTCAATCGATCTCACTACTTTAGCTAATAGTAGTATATTGCTGGTAGCATTTCTACAAATGATAACAGAGTTAACAGAGTCAAATGTGGATGTGTGAATGAAGAGATAATAGTATGTAATTAAATAAACAAATAGCAGTATTTTCCTTATAACTATTTGTAATGTATTATTCTCTTAAATTCAAAATGTTTGAGTGTTTTGAAACTTCATTTAAATACATGTTCAGTATATATATATATATATATTGATAAAGATAAAGAAGCTATTATTCTATAAGTTAAACAAACAGAAAAATTTTAAATTTTATCATTTTATTTAAATAAATTTTTATATTTTTGTTATATTTAAATAAGTTATTAATTTTTAATTTATATTTAAACAAATTTTTAACATTTAATTTATATCTTAACAAATTCTTAAAATTTAATTTATACTTAGATAAATTTTTAACATAAATTAATGTTTGAATACAAATTAAATGATAAATATTTATTCAATAAAAATATATAAATTTATTTAAAAAATAAAAATAATTGAGAATTTTTTTAATATGCTAGAAATAATGATTATATCATACTAAATTTCTAGAAGCAAAATGTGACATATCATGGTGTACTTATTTACCCTGACACTTGTGGCAGTTAAAAATCAGACCTCAGGTAGTGGAGTTTTTTCTAACATTCCCAAAGTGAATAATTTGTATAATGCACCTTCCTCCAATTAATTTGATACTAGCCAGCTAGTACTTATTTTGTGTATTTCTAATATTATTTGTATACGTATTGATTCACCTATTTGTAATAATATTTCATCTTTGCTGATTTTAATGCTACATTTTAAATAAAACACAATGAATTAAATTAAATAAATAAATCAATAAACAAATAAAATATAACTAAATATATCCTATGAAATTACTTGAACCAAAATCATACGGTATGTAATTTGAACATAGAATCTCAAAATTAAGTACAATGTCTCTTCCTTCCTACCAAGATGATAATTGGCACAATTTCTTGACTATTAAATTAAGGCCTCCTTGTTGTGTTTAATTAATGT